GAAACCCTGTGGATCAGTTCTACTCTGTCCAATAGGGTCGCTATGAGTTGAATCAACTCAACGGCAACGGGTTTGGTTTTGATTGGGAACAATATCAGTTACAGTTTCTAGAATAGTGTATAATTTTTGCAAAGTGATATCATTATCTTATTTAACGATTATAGTGAAACTCTGATACAGGAGCAACAAATATTTTTTGCCTTTTTCACAGACAAGGACATCACCCCTCAATGATCCTTCTGACACAAGTTCATGGATTTGCCCACTAAGCCACAGGCATGAAGGAGCCTGTTCTGGTCCCTGCAGAAGCTCAGCTCAGTCTCTCTGATTACACAGTCCATGGCGGGCTGGAGACCCTCATACCTCACAGTAAAGAGCAAAACAACTCCATCGTCCTCAAAATCAGTGTAAATGTTTTCCACCAAAGTAGAATGTCAGAAAATCTAAGAAAGAATCTGCAAGTGCAAACATGACCTTTTAAAATGAGAGCCCTAAAGAGATGAAGTCATCTCTCACTCCATACCGAGGAAGCCACCGACCACAGAGAAACTCTGCATAGTAGCCGTTATCACAGTGCATTTCAATTACTTATTACACTGTAAGGTCTTATAAGATTATCCTCTACAGGATCAGGTCACTGTAAATGATAAAAAACTCTCCAGAAATTATTTTAAGCATCCAAATATTTTCAACCAACACTTACAGGTTGCTCTACAACTTCTTTTACATCCGAAAAAAACAACTAAAACCATTGCCGTCGAGTCGATTTTGACTCATAACCACCCTACATGACAGGGTAGAACTACCCCATAGTTTCCGAGGAGCACCCGGTGGATTTAAACTGCTGATCTTTTGGTTAGCAGCTGTAGCCCTTAACCACTATGCCACAGGGTTTCCTAATTAGGATATTGACTTAAACATAAATGTGGAGTGTATCAATAGTAATTAAATCTCTCCTAATATTCCCAGGCTCTACAGTCTGACAGGAGCCTGGGTGGTGCAGTGGTTAAGAGCTCAGG